AAATTATATATATATAATTTTGATGAAAACATTGAGAGATAATATTATACACTATTTATTAAATGAATACCAGTGCAAATAACTCAATATGTAATTAATAATACAGAAATTTTATTATAAATATTAGTTATAGTTCACAATTAAAAAAATAATAACACTCTGAGAAATTATATAGACATATCTGCTATAAAAAGGAAGACTACACATATACTGTATGTGCCAGAGCACACACACATGTGCATACACACATGTACACAGCACATATAAATAAGAAGCTGTGTTTGGGGTAGTGGAAGTACTCATTGGTATTCAAAAATTAAAAAAATATATTCTCAACAGCCAAATAATATTTTCTAATTCCTGCTATAAACTTACCTATCTCATCTTCATCAAAACTGAAACTCCAACATAAAACTTTTGTGAAAAAGTAAACAGGATGCTGACAATGAGGGAGGCTGTTTGTGTGTGGGGTGGGCACTCTGTCTGTGTCCTTCCCACTCCATTTTTCAGTGAAGCTAAGACTGCTCTACAAAATAAAGTCTATTCACACCAACAACCAAGCCTAGGTGGCTCCCGTCACTATTGGGCAATAACAAGCAGAGTAAAAGACACTAAAAGGATTTCTATGCTCCCTTTGATATTTAACATATCACCATGAGGTTATTAGAACACTGAATAAAGTCTGGTTCAAAATATCTTGCAACAGATCCAACCTTGGATTTCTTTTTCATCAGGAAAAATTAAAGTATTTTTCTAAGACAAAATTCTATTGAGCAAGCAATTCTTCTATTAATGCAAAGAAAGTAAATCACATGAAGAATTTTATACAACCCAAAGTTCTCAATGACCTGTTTGGAAACAGTGTATGATGTCCAGAGTGACATTAGGAAGATTTCACTATAACCACTTTCAAAGTCAGTATGATATAAGATATCATATCTTGTCCGATAAAGCACTGCAGGCCGTCCATAGAGAAGGTGTCTCTCTAGGAAAGAAAAAAATAAACTGTGTTAAAACACAAATTAAACCTGACATCAAAGATTAAATATTGGAAGAACATCCAGTTGTCCAAAAGTTGCTTGCTTACTTATTAATAATATAGAGCTCCTTCTCCTTAATTTAATCGAGTTAGTTTTCCTAACACTTCTGTGGTTCATCTGATCACCTAAGCATGGGTCAAGGCTTACAGTTATCAAAACTATAATGTGAATGCCATACTTATTTGAATGCTTTTTTTTCAGTAGGAGAGAATTGTAATCTGTGTAGGAAGGAAACATCATGAGTAAATTTTGAATAATTCAGCAGAATGAGAAGTCAACATGATTGATTTTTGTAGAATCAATTCCTTTGACCCCTGAGAAGGCTCATCAAATTAACCGATGATTTAATTAAGAGGAAGGCACCCTTTGATCATTAGTTGCAAACAGCAACTCAAGTATGCATTACTTCAGCATAAACAGTGAGTAGTAATGAGCATTTAAAGTAAGCAGCTTTGCCACGAGGAGGAAAACTCTTTAGGTAAGAACTTAAAGGAACATGTATAGATAAAATAAGTCGTCATTCAAGAGGGCCGTTTAAATAGAAGAGGCGAGGTCATTGGTTACCAAAGAACTCAGCTAAGACCCCAGACTGTAGATTCAGACCTCCAAGAGAAAGCTCTCCTCTTAGGAAAAGAAAAAGGTCTGAAACCTTACTCTTTTAGGAAGAAGAGATGGGAGTTTAGTGTGCAAACTTTCACTCCACGCCCACAAGAAATGGCTGGAGCTTGATCTACCCATTTTGGATCAGCTACAGTCAGAACGTCCATAGATTCTTGGAAATTGGGGTCCTATAGATCAAAATATTTAGAGATTGAGGTATTGAGTTTGAGGCAATGCACAATTCCCTAAGTGATAATCAAGAAAAAAAAAACAATTTACGATTATTTTTATTAGAGAAAATCAGTTCTGGCAATCACTTATTAAATTATTTATACATGTTGCTTTAATTAAAGTATTACCATTCTATGCAAGTAACAGAGGAAACTCTTTGAACACTCTGCAAGACCCTCCCCAAGTACAACTGCTGGTTTGAGGCAAAGCAGCACACACTGTTATATCATGAGACTGTTCTGGATAGTTTGGCTTCAGCACTGTTGTAAATGTAGAAGCCTTGGTTCAGCTGCCAAATTTGGGGACCCACCCCTAAGAATTAGAATATAATATGATAATATAATACAAATGAAATATAATGAATAAATGAAAAGCCAGCAAATCATCACAGTAGTACTTGGGGGCAGTAAACCAAAGTCAGGCTTTCCCTTCCAAACTCAAACCAAACCTTTTCTAGGTTCAACATTTCCATTAACGTTTTCCTTGTTTTCATTTTTGTTGCCTCTGAATTTCCTGGTTTCAGCTGGAAGCAGAAGTATCAAAATTCTTTGAGAAGCTATTCTCTCTTTATCATTCAAGTTTTAATGCTTACCAAACCCATTCTTCCAAATTCAAATGCAAACCTAGCATCCGATCTTCTATTCGATGAAGGCACAACAAAACGGCAGTCACGCTTCTCCATGAAACTCCCTTCCTTGGAGCCACTAGCAAACAATAATCTTGGATAATCTATAGTCTCCACCAACTCTGGCTCCCTTTCCAGTCCTCCTCATTTATTGGCATTACTCTATATAACACTCGGTTGCACGAAGGCGGATTTGTTTGCAGCACTGCTCGTGACCGTTAGTAACTCTGTGTTTCTAGACATGCAACTCCCTTTCTCTCTACCGGGAATAACTTTTCTACCTGTCCTGTCACCTATCCCCCTTCAAATTTTTCATTAATGCATTCCCTCTCATCAAACATTAACTGACAGGGCTTGGGCTGTAGAATAGAGATAGTAGGCAAAGATAATTAAGAGAGAGCTCGTACCCTCAAAAAGCTCACAATTCAAGGAGAGAGGGCAACATGGCACAAACAACTACAATGCAATATGTGTGCGCTATACCTGAGATATCTACAGAGTGTAATGGGAACATGGAGCATGATAAAGGCTGAAAATGGGGGGTGGTGGCATTAGTACAGTCCCCACAGAACATATGAAACTAAGCCAGATTGACTCCACATCCAGTTTATGCCTGTTGCCTTGACATAATTGTTAACAGTGCTTCTTTTCATACTCAAAAGTGGATGACAAATAGTATGATCACAGTTCAGCCCTCGTGGAAGAGACATGAGGAGGAGGAGGGGACCGGGGCCAAAAGGGGAAGAGAAATCTTAAGCTTCATTTTCTCCTGAAAGATTTCCCCCGTTAAGCTTCTCCACCTATATTCACTCTTCGGTTTTGCATGTATAGACTGTGTTTGATTCAGACATGTGTACTTCATCACTTCCAACTGAAGGTTTTGGCACATGGCTGCAACACAAATATATTACCATGTGACTAACTTTCCCTTACTTGTTAACTGGGCAAATACGGCATGAAGAAAAAACTATGCAATGGTTGTGACAGTTTTCTGAAATTCATCCACCGAGCTCCCCAACCCAAAGAATCTATTTGGGCCTTCCTGAAGCATAATAGTTTCATCTAAGAAAGAGGTGAAATAATCTTTGCAGTTAGAAACACAAACTATAAAACCCAGAATAAAAATTTAGACTTTCCTTCCTCAAGTTATCAGAGTATCAAAGAACCATAGATACTTGGTCACAGCCTGACACTACTACTCTTTATGACATCTTGGGCAAGCCACACATTGCATTTCTGTTTAATAAATATCCCTATTTGAGCCGTAAGAGTGCATCTGAATCCCAGGTTTTGGACACATAAGCTCTTCATCTCCAAACAAGACTGTGAGCCTTTGCTTTTGAAATATGTTTGTCCTGATTTCCTGATATGGATCCAATACAGTCCATGTCTTCCCAGGTTAGGCTCCTACTCCATGGAATTCCAGACAGAGCCTTCATCCCACACCCCAGGTCCCTGTTTACAATAGTTTCTGGCATTTTTGGTACATGCCAAGGTTCTCCTCCAGATACCACATTTGGCAAAATACTGGGAGGCAAGTCTTTTTAAGTGGTGTGGACTTTCCCAGTGCTCATTCTTTTCGTCTTCCAAAGTTTGGTCATCCAGACTTGAGTTTGTGTTTCTTTTGCCTCCTCAGCTTCCTGATTCATATTCCCACAGATTAGCTGGCTGACTTGAGAGCCACATGAAAATCTCTCCGTTTTGTTTTTTTAAAAAATGGTCATTCCCACAATAATATGCTCCTACATGTTAACCACAAAACCTCTACCCAAGGTCTTTCTTTTTCCTACATCCTTTCCCCTCCTTTTGCCTACTGTCATTCACATGTCAGCCTTCTCTGGGATTAGATTTGATGCCTCCATTAGTGTCCTGTCCTTTCTTACCTCAACCCTTAAGACACTACGTTGTAATTCCTCAACTGGCTAAAACTCACCATGAAACGATAAAAACAGGGATTTTATCTGTTTTGTTCACCCCTATATCTCTACCTGCAAGAATGCCACCCACATATCTACCTGGTAAATACTTGTTGAATGCTTGTTTTATGTTGTTTTTAAAATACCATTCTTTATGACTCTAAAGAGCTAGCTTTTTCATGTGACGTGCCTCATAATAACCCCAAGAGACAGACTAAGCAGATCAATATTATCTCCACTTTACTAAGAAGGAACTGGAAGCTCATGACTTGTAGAAGATACTTCCGTTACATAGCAACATCCAGCATCTAAGCCTCCATCCTCCTGGTCCATTATTCTTCTCCTAATGTTTTGAAAGCAGTCTACAGTTGAATACTGACTGCTGGGTTATTCCAATGGAGGGTGAATCGCAATGATGAACCAGCAACTCTTGGGCATGAACTCTGCCTGAGTCATGCCTGCTGAGAAGCGAATGTGGACAGCAATTTGCATCAAAGCATCTGGTACTTCAGAAACAACTTCCAAACCCTGCTATGCAACGAGGTTCTCTCCTGACATATTGTCTTTACTCCAACCCTTAGAATGAGAAGCATTTTCACAGAAAAGCACAGGGACTTTAGTGTCATATAGAACCAGTCAAATCTCATCTCAGTTTGTTACAGCTCTGCGATTCTGTAACTTAACCTCCCAAAGCCTCCTATTTCACTGGGATGTTGCACTGTTCAGAGGCAAAATACATAAAGCCAGTCTTGACCCACATAGCTGTAGTTACAGCTGCAGTGGTTTAGTAAAGGGTTTATGCTCTACTTCAATGTCGGCTGGAATATTTGGTAGGTAAATGGTATTAAAATTCAGTGTCTAGTCCATCCAATTTGTCTCGAATTTTACTATAAATCATAAACAATTATATCATGTGCTGATTTCTTCCCAAAAACACACACAAGGATACACATACAGAGAAACACTATAGCACAACTAACATCTTCAGCCCAACTAACATCTCCAGAAATAACAAAAATGAGAAACATTTCAGAATTGAAAAGAACTACAGAGGAGATTCCCTCTCTAATTAAATACTCAAGACTCTGCCTTAAAGTTCACAAGAATTACTAGTGTTTAATTTAAGTCATTCTTCTTAGCTAAACAAACTTCTATTGTGTGTAAGAAAGAGCCAAACATATATTGGTATCAAAATGACTTTTTTAATTCTTTTTTTTGACAAAGATAATAGTGTATGTCAACCTAAGATAATATAACATATTTTTATAGCAACGGAAATAGAGAAGGACTAAGGTGAAAATAAATAGTGCAATTATTCTTACAGTGAAAATTATATCTGACTGTAGTGCCAGAATTGCTTTCTATGAGAGATTTAAAACTTGCATTTTGTTCATTCATTCATCCATTGATTCAATGTCTCAAAGAAATGAATTTTCACTGCACAGTGAGTTTGCCAAGACATTAAGCACATGTCATTCAGAGGCAGCAATGGTCTTGTAATGAAGACCCAGAATTCACCACACAGCTAGAAATATTACGGCTTTAGCAAGCCGTGTGGACCACTATTTTTGAAGATTATATATTTGTTTTCCTCTTCATTTCAGTAAAAGACTTGATTTTCTAACAGTTTAGATATTTATAGCAAAATATTGCCTAAGATTGATTTAATACACCTCTCTTTTGTTACCTCATGCGTCCCCTGGGTTGCTTCCTTACTGTTATGTCCAGCTTTTCCACGTGTGTTTTGTGTAGATGCATGAGTGTTTTTATGGCATATGATATTAAAATAGCCACATAGGAATGTTACAAGTGGAATGTACATAGCGTGTGGTTTATTCTGAAAAAAAAAAAAAAGAAAACCAGCTACCTACAGGTGTGTTTAAAAAAACTCAGGATAAAAATAATACAGCTTTACATTTGTGTAGAACTTTAAGGAAGCAATTATTCTTAGCATAGCACGCACATGCACTCACTCACACACAGTGACGCGAACTCACGAGGGTCTGTTCTGGTGGAGCAGATGTTGGAGGTATTTCAGGTGAGAGGCTAGATTTATGACCCAGGAAACACCACAAAGACCCCAAAAAAACTCTGACTAAGGAAATGTCACTTTTGTAGCTAAAGAAATTACTGAAATGGGATCCTTAAGGAGACAAAGACCAAGTGGCAGAGACACAGAAAAACAGAGCTAATGCTGAGGCTTATATATATGCCAGAATCTAAACAAGGAAATGCTTTACACAAATAAGACAATGACATATAATTGTTTTCATTTCATTAATAGTTTTAAAGTCTCTCTTGAATCATTAAAGGCTATCCCAATAGGCCACGAACAGACCAAGGAGACGTGCTACCATGATTCTCCCTTATTATTTTATGTCACCAATGTGAAGTCATATCTAGGAAACTATCGGTGACACAGCTGACAGAACCAGATGTCTCAGGAAAATCAGTTCCCAGTCCAAGGTGGGTGCTCAACAAATGCCCATAAGGGCCCATTTCCATGAAAGTATATGAGCTTTAAGTTTCGGCAATGTAACATCATCTTGAAATAAGATACTTATGTTCACATTCTGAGCAAAGCAATGAATGGGTGAGCAACTATAGCTTGTTTCAGCTCTGAAAGGCAGTGACTCACCTAGAAAATGCCTCTTATTTTCACACTCAGAAGTCTGAAGTTACTGTTTATGCTGAGTTGTGGGACTGGTTTTGTCACATGAGCACACTGCCAACAACAAACTAAATGCAGACATTTTTTTCCCCCAGATGGAAATGTTTTAGGACAAGGAAGAGCCAGAACTTGAATCAGCAAAAACAAGCTGGGAGTCAATATTAAATTATAATTCACTATTTCATTAGTGACTTTTAGAAAAGAAACATCTCAGTATTATTTCTCTGCCTTGGTGATTGTATATTTGAAAAACACATATCATGAGACTCTGCAACCCTTGAACTTGGCAACATTCCAATTTTTCTAATTATAATGACCTTGTAGTCCACCAGAGGTCAGATGTCAAACATTTCAAATGACTCCTCGAGTTTGTGAAGGACTTGTGCACCTTCCATCAACTAAGTTCTATCTTCAAAGCTGTGTTCATCCAACCACATGCCAAAGAGTCTGTGTGTTCTCTGATCAAAAAGAAAAAGGCAGTGGTGGTAATGCAGAAAGGGGGGGGGGGAGATGAAGATCTTTATAAAGAGGCAAAATAAGTAAATAAAATCTACTGGTTTCCTCAACCTTTACTAATCAGATTGGAAACGGCACATACGATAAACAGAACCATATGTAAGCTAATAACTCAAGTATTGCTCTCAGGAGAATTTGACTATGTGCATCCCTAGTATAGGACCTGGGGCTGCTGTGCTTTGAGTTCTATTTACTTTTTAATATACTTTTAGTCATTCCTTTGCTGTTGCAAGATGCTATCCCATCTATTGTAGTAACCTGTCATCCCTTCTTTCTAATTCTCTGGAATTTCAAAACCAGGAACAAGAGGTTGTGGGGTAGATTGCATTATTGCTCTTAATTACTGACTGCCCTTTTGTGAAGGATTATATACTTCCACCCATTGCCATGTGACTTACAGGACAGTGTCCCTGTTGAAAGAATATACTTCGCTATTTCATTGTTTTCCTGTACTCTGCTATCGCCAGTGAACTGTGAATGGAAGTGACAAATGCCTCCTAAGAGCAGAAGTGTTGAGACCCATGGCATAGTTCTGCCATTCCTCTTTTCTCTCTTCCAAGTAAAGGGCATGTCCAGCTAGGGGCTGCTCTTTCTGCCTGGATTCCAGAATCATGAGCATTCATGGGGCAGTGCCACGCTTAGCCTAGTCAGCATACTGACATGTGAGCAAGAAATGCAGCTTCCTTGGTACAGATCGCTGAGGTTTTCTTTCCATCACCAGCTTGCAAAAGTTGACTAATCATGCGTGTTGTCATTGTACATAAAATAAGAGAATGAGTTACGGCTCAAGATGATCCTTCTGTGAAAAGTGGGTTCAGATTTGGTTCCTTCTGTGTATCTCTCCCCACTACAACCTATACCCTGACTCTCCATGTAACTGAGCTACAACATAGGTACCAGCTGCTATTATTTATAATTGTGACTTCTAGTCCCTTCATAGAAGTTCCCATCAGCACTTTAGCTTATGACCCATCAGATATAAAATGGGGTGTTTGTTTTTCAAAGGGCTTAAAAGCTATTGAAAAAAAAAGGTAACAGAATATTTCTGAGTATTACACAGCTGGCATCTGTGTACATAGCATCAACCAATACCCTTTGCCAGATGGATACTAACATCACTTTGCAATCCAAATTTTCATTTTAAAAAATATTGTGCTTCTGCTATGAAGTAAATAGGAAGTCTCTTCAGTTTTTGAAAACTAGAAAACAAAACTTATCTGATTGCTTTTTTCCATCAATTCCTCACCTTCTGTGGAGCCTTTTATATGAAGACGTTTGTTGAGTTCATCCAATTTGTTCTTCGTGTGTGAAAACCAGAAAAAGAGGAAAAAAAGCAAATTAGAAATGTTCTTTCGGGCTGGCCAAGTGGCGCGATGGTTAAGAACTGGCTTGGGACGCCAGAGGGCCCCGGTTCAGATCCCACATATGAGGGCCAGTGACACTGCCCTCCACAGCTAAGATGCTAAACAACAGCTCAACCTGGAGCTGGGCTGCCGTGAGTCGCCCGCTACGGCGTAGGCTGCAGCCCCTGTGGCAGTGGGTGGCCATGGGATACAGTATGTAGCCAGCAGCCAGCGTGAGCAGCCAGCGTGAGCAGCCAGCAGCCAGCGTGAGCAGCCAGCAGCCGCAGTGAGCGGCCGTCCAGAAGCCAGCGACTGATCTGCCTCGCCCAGGAAGAGCGCAATGATGGTGCCAACTTGGGCCAGTGAAGCAACGTCCTCCACAACTAGACTGAAGAACAAAACAACAGCAACTTGTCTGTTCCCCTTCCCCCAATTCCCCAGCACTGTTCCCAACCCCCCAATTCCCCAATAAAAATCTTTAAAACAAAACAAAACAAAACAAAACAAAACAAAACAAAAAAGAAATGTTCTTTCTTCTCTGTACCCTGGTCTCCACTTAGTAGCCTGCTAAATTCAAAACACGATCTTAAACTCTATGCCTATTATAAGCTCTGTGGTAGAAGGACAATTTCATCTCAAATTGACATCTCAAGTCTAGGCTCCACTTGCTAGGAGTTCTATGGTGGTGAGCACATTCTTTAATCTCTCCATGACTTTGTTTCCTTTTCTCAAATCTGAATAATCATGGTTCCAACCTCGCATGCTTTTAATGATGATAATTTGAGCACATATATGTAATTTAATTAGAATAACACCTCAATATTTCAGATTAATCTCTAGTGACATTAAAGTGATTCCCAAACTAATTTATGAAATTGCTTTTTCCAAAGCTGAAAAGTAATGGCTCAGCAACTCAATCCTTCACTGTATATCTGAGAGCCATCTCTAGCATATGTGTACAAGAAGACATTTGCAATAATGTCTATTGTAGCATTGTTTGGAGGCGATAACAATTAGAAATTACTAACTGTTCTCAAATAGAAAAATGAATAAAGTCACTATGGTATGTTTTTTCAATTAAATATAAACTCGTAACAGTAAAAATGAATGAGTTAAAACTTCATGCATTAATATGCATAAATCTCAAAAACATGATGATGAACAATATAATTGCAAGACATATATAGTTTAATAGCACTTACATAGAAGTTATAATATGTATAACTATACTATAGGTTATTTCAGGGAACTATACTAAAAATTAATTAATATACCATTTAAGAGATACATGTGTATGGAGTAAAAGTATTGAGACCTGCATGACAATTATACAACCCATATTCAGGATACGAGTTACCTTTGGGGTAGGAAGGAAATAGGATTGTGGGGAAAGAGGGTACACTGAATCTGTAATGTTTTCTTTCTCATGATGTGTGTATTGAGGTCATCATTTCATTAATCTCTATGCCTTTTTCGTATATCTGGATTTTTTTATTTTTTTAAGAAAAGGAAAATAGTCTTTTAGAGAAACCTATCGACAAAATAAAGACAACCCATAATTCCTCCAATATGTCTTAAGATAACATATCTGAAATGTTTCTTGTTGTCTAAAAGAAAGGTGATTCAGAAAACAAGATACAACTAATAGAGTCCTCTAACGTTAGAGTTAAAATCCACTTCAAAGACCACTTCTTATTGACTTTGGCAACACAACTTCTTGAGCTGAGGTCTGAGAATTACCTGCAGTTAGAGTGATTACCCTCATTTTTTGGTCAGAAGCAAAAGTAGGAAGGAGAAAAAATGGAGATTGGGGCAGAAGAGCACACTGGATTCTTCCAGGGGCAAGCTTCCTAAACTGTGGTTCCTGGGCCCCTAGGAGTTCTGGAAGGTAGCAAATGGTAGGGGATAGGGATGGAGCACTAGGACAACTAGTTTCCATTTCTCTGAGGTCTACTAGAAAGACCACAGGTTTGCCCATAATAAAACGACACATGCAAAAGTAACTGATTGCTTTGTTTTGCGTTGGAATCACATCAACTCAGTGTGGTAACACTGATTATTTCTTACTGTTGGAAGCACTGATTGGCAACTATCAAGTTCTTTGAGCAATATAAAATTCAATCAACAAATTATTGCTTAACACTTGTCGTTTGTTTGGTCTTGGAAAACTGTCCAAACACAATGTGCTGGGTCGTCTCCATTTGCACCACCACCCCTACCCATGCTGCACCCTTCCCTACTCCGCTCTGCGTCCTGAGAGACTGACCTCCCAGGACAGCATCAAAGGAACAAGCTTGCCCTCCAGCTTCCTGTTGGGCTCCGCCAGTGGGAGGTCCCCGCGGTGGATTAGAGGTGAGAAGGGCAACAGGGTATTGATTCCCCCAGCTTCCTTCCTACAAGGTTGTAGTGTAGTAGCTGTACCCATCTACCAAATTCCACATTTCCTTCCTACATAGCTCTCTCTCCATGTTCTGGTAACTGCTCCCCACCTTTATGGTTCAGGCCTAGGACTGGTGCCCTTCTAGCCCCCGGGAGCTTCACCATCTCTCAATGACATCCCTCTACTCAGCCTTTGTTCTAGTCCTCACATTAAATATGTTTGAAACAATCCCTGTAAACCTTCTTCAGAAGCCTCCTCTGCGTGGGCCACCTGTTTCCTATTGGGGCCACGAGTGATAGACACCTGATCCAGATTGAAAAAAAAAGAAAAAGTCTTTGGTTCGGGAACTCTGATGCCACAAAATAGCATCACAAATTCTACTTTTTTTGCCCTTCATTTTCTATACCTGTGCTGTCCAATATGGTAGCCACAAGCTACATAGGGTTCTTTGAACATAAAGTAATTAAAAGTAAACAAAATTAAAAACTTAGTTCTAAGTGGTCAAATGCCATGTCTGGCCAGTAGCTACCATTTTGGACAGCAGAGTTATAGACCATTTACATAGCATGGAAAATTCTTTTGGAAAGCCCTGCTCTACACCCAACCATCTCCTCCATGATAAACAAAGATTATTTCTACCTTTGGCTCTACCTTATCATCACAGGTGCAGCCCAGGTCAAAATCAGACTGAAGGTACATAATCCCTGGATAACTGGGTCTGGTGACTTCCTCTGGCATGGTTGGCCTGAAGGTGTTGGCACGCAGGAGATGGTTCAGACTTCCGTGGGTCCCATTATTGGGAGCTGGCTTCAATCCCAGGAGATCTAATGAGAAGAAAAAAAAAGAAGCCAGGTGCTTTGTAAATATTTTTTGATGAGCTATGGCAAGAGTCAAAACCATTCACCTTCCAAGCGTCTGAAAACTCTGAACATGAATCAGAATTGGATAAAACCAAATTTAGAGAGTAGGCACTCCCTTCTTACTCCATAAACCATTCTAGCCTGACCATGTCTGGCCACAGCTTTCTGAAATAGCATGCTCATTGTTTGATCAGATAGAGAGACAGTCCCAAAAAGAAAGAGTGAAGGAATAGGACCTTACCTAGCGATTGCCTGTATCTATGATAGTTACAACCCAAAGACAATTAGTGTCTTGCCTTTCTGCATCTCCACAAAACGTTTTAACCCAAATTTTGAAATGAGACTTATAATCAATAAACAACCTCCAGCCTGCCCTCTAATGTACTCCACAGAAGTACGGGGACAAGAGAAGGCTTTGGCCCTGTGCCTTGAGGTGCCACTGTGAAATGAACAGGCTGATTTCATAGCAAGTGAATGGCTGCCAAGCAGGCACACAGTGACTTGCCTAAGCTGAGAGGCAGGACAGGGGAGAGCTAGCAGCCAAGATGGGAAAAGAACCCAGGAGACCCGACTTTCAGACTCCCCCTCTAACCACCAGACTGGCTAAACAGACTCCCTGACTAAATAGGAAAAGTTGTCCTCATTCAGCAACTAGAAGTTCAAGGAAGAAAAATAATTAGGAGCACAGAAATAGCTGGCCAGGATGCAAGCTGGCAACATTTTAACTGAGCTGCAACGCGAGAGATGGAGGTGGGAGAAAGCCCTGTGCGGAACTCATGCTTCACCAGGTCTCTCTGACCAGCGGTGTCAAACTGTAATGCTATGTTAGATCAGCCAGAGGCTGCCAACAGCAACACTATGAAAACTCCTCATTAGTCAACGGGTGGAAGAAGACAAAGAAGCCATAGAAGGCATGATATGCTGTCCTTCGAACCAATGGGTGAGTTACAACAGAATTTCTGCAGGAAGATGAGGTGGTCCCAGAAAAAAAGACACTTCATTTCTGTGTCTGACATTGAGGAAGTTCATCTGTTAACTCAAGATGGTTTCAGTGGTTCTTATTAAATAAGTGACTTACCACACATAACATTATACAGTTCAATGTTTTCAAAGGGAGGCACTTTAGTCTTGTACTTAAATGTTGGGCCATAACCTACAAAAACAGTCTTCCAAAAGATAAGAAAACAAAAACAATTAGATACTGCGAATGTCCAGTAGTGACCCCTCCCCTGTTTATGAATACCGTGTAACTTCACGCACACCACCATCCCCCATCCCTTCTGAGGATCACAAAATGCATTTTCAATTCCCAGTTCTGTGATCATGATCATACCTGCATGCTGTTGACCTTGTTATCAAACCCGTGGTCTCCTTGGAAAAAGCACTTTCCTGATGGTTTCTTATAAACATCCAAAGGTTTCCTACATCAGAACAATTGTATAATCAGTCAGGATTTCTCATGAAATCACTGATAAAAAGCTCATTTCCGTGCACAGAGAATCTCTAAGAAGTGGGTTTTACAAGCATATTTATCTCTATTTTAATTGCATTACCGCTGTGGTGATGAAAAGGTGATGCTGTTCATTTCCCCCAAGTGCCTTTGCTTTGACGATCAGCCCAGGATACATGTGGACCTCTGAACAGAAGTCATGGTGCCCTCCTTGTACCTTGTGCTTGCAGTGAACAAAGCACCTGTCACAGATGATGCTCTGTGTGCCTCCTATGCTTCAGCTCCAAGGTCGTAAGATTCTCCATGGTAGGACCATGTTTGTCCATTCACTTCTATATACCCCCCTCTCTAGGCTCAATGCCAAACACATAGTAGGCACTTTTTAAATATGTCATGTTTAATCAATCAATGGAGATCTGTATTCTATAAAATGTTTGCATACATTTACCTATGATATAATACAACTAGAGAATATAACGGAGTGGTAAACTTACTATATAGTGACACATTTAGCAAAAGCCCAGCCTTACTTACATTAATATCTCAATACAGAAATAGAAAAAGGAAATACGGTTCCCTATACATCAAAACTATTGGACCTTCCCTGTGACAAGAAAATGCCTTTTGCTTAAGTGTCATGTAGCACTTTTCCAAAAATCTTTGGTGTTTTATTACAAAGATTCCCTAAGTACCTACAGGGTATGTCACACTGAAGTGAAGTGTTTGGGAGAAAATAGAGACATTAAACATTTGGGACCCCACCCTTAGGAAAAGTGCTTTCGGCTTGGGATAATAAGGTATACACATATACTAACCCAACGATGCAAGAGTTTAAAAGATTTGCTGCTAATTAAAATGTCTGGCTTTGGTCTATGCTAATTTGCTCAACTGTCATCATCTTTCATTTAACCTCTACTCAACAACCAGGTTTACTTCATATAAACCTACGAACTTCACCTAATTTGCTCTCTTCTAAGCTGCCCCATATATAAATGTTCCTGCAGAGGATATACTCAGCCAAGACATCGGATCATATCTTTGTAACTTTTCCACAAAGACTTCCCATGCCTGTTCTCAATGATTTCAATAACTTCTGGTCTTCATTCATCTCTCTTCATAATCCTACATATTTAATTCTATATACCCCCTACACCCCCACCCCCCAACAATTACAGTAGGATATTAGGTATCTGTCATGTGTCTCTCCAGGCATTCCATATTGATAGAATCTCCAAGAGGATGAACATTTTCTCATTATCTTCTCTCCCTCATAAACTCATTGAAGTACCCTGCTAGAGTGTATACAGTAGTTGTTCCGTTACTACTACAGACCAATTCTCAACACTTTGCTTAAGGAGAAAGTTGGAACAAGAATGAGTGCGAAAGGGCTGCTGCTGAGTTTGTGTGAAAATGGATAAACTTTTAATGATTAACTCCTTGGAAATGGTTACAGCTTCCAGAGGACACAGTCCACAAAAGGCTCAAGAGCAAGGAATAGTGTCTTCCATATTGGAATATTTTGTAGCTTAAATGAAGGCAAATAACTGAAATACATAAGGCCAAATAAAACATACCCATAATAACAGAGGTTTTAAGATTAACAACATTGTCTGATCTCCTCTATAAATGTTCCTTATAGGCTAAGACTTGTCAACTGAGAGCAACTTAGTTCACTGCAACTAAGAGCATCCCAGTGACACTTTTGACTTCCTCAAGGAATCATAAGGTTAGAATGTAAATTCAAAACACTGAAAGAGACAGAGACACACAGAGATGCACTGAGAGGCCACAGAAAGACACCAAGATGCTGAGACCCAGAAACTAGAGATGTATTGTCTCAGCACTCATTGTTTTTCCAGCATCCAGCATCTTTGGCAACAGTGAGATATCCCACTGAGATTTCTTTGTATGATGGCTGAGGACCTCCTAGCACTCCAGTTGCCAAAGAGGTGGTTACAAAGATGAGAAACAGGGACGGCCAACTCCCAAGTTACCTTGCCACATGCCATCTGCGTTCCACCAGTAAATGGATGTCCTCAATTCTTCTGTTGTTGGCATAGTGCAAACGTTTGGGAAGGTGCTGCTTCATGTAAGGCTTAAAGTGCTGATCTGGTTTTTTACACTGAAATAGAAATGGAAGTTGAACTTTAGATGGAGTGTCTTCAATAGAAAGGCTTATATAGTCTCCCTCTAGAAAACTGAAGCAGGTTTTAAGCCACACAATAGGTTGCTTAGTGAATAAGAGGAATTTGTTACTCCCCATCAGGTCATATAAACGGAAAACAGGTTAAAGAAGATTCAATCACTTTGGAGATGGGAGGTTATCAGAGAGGAGTAAGGAAGTTTTAAGACACATTCCTGACTCATGAGAGCATCACTAAGAGCAATTTAAGATCCAAGGCCTTTCCCAATAATTCCAAGTCACGGGATGGGACATAGGCTGGAAAAGGAGAAGGACGCATGTCCAGGCCTATGGGATTACATCCTCATGGGCTTTGAAGGTCTCTATCCTGGATGGGGGAGTGATGGAACAGGATAGGTGGTGGACCGGCCTGGTTCACAGAGAGTAAGGATTTGTTTAATCCTGCGTGCATGCTTTTCACTACTAATGGAAAGATAAAATATTGTCAGTTTGTATCATTGCCAAGACCATTAGGGAGCCTGCAGCTGTCCACAGGCCAGCAATTTCGAAAGCTCCAAGGGGAACAGATACACAGGACGGCAGGGCGATGAGGAAAATGTTCCTCCCGCCCCACAGGAGAGTGAACCCAGGAGGTGAGCACATGGCAGCTGTTCCCAGGGAGGCCTGGTGCCTTGCAGTACTTACCGTGAGGTTAGCAATAATGGCTTTAGGGTCATCTGTTCAAAGAGAGAAGGAGAGAAATTTCAAAAGGGATGACAATGATCACTGAGAGAAATCATTTTTGCAGCAAGATATTCAATTCCTTCTTTCCCTCCGCCCCTCCCAGAAGGGCTATCACTTTAATTTTTGTTTAAAATATATTCAAATTGTGTGTGGGTGTTTAGTATTGCAGTCAGTGAAAAGCAGCTTGATAAGTGGAACAATTCGTATAGTAAATTTCCCTGCTGGGTCTGGATATCCTCTTCCGGAAGGCAATTCCTCTTGGAAGGCTAGGTCAGTTGCTTCTTTAAAGTCCCCCCCCAATGGTCCAAAAGCTGGTGCCTGGATTCAGCTCATTTGCATTTAACATCAGGAAGTAAACTGGCCATCTGGGGCACTTAGTGTAACTCCCTATTTATCTGCAGCTCTTTGAAACAAGTTATCGTCCACTTTAAGATGAATCTCTAAGCCACTGAGTTGTGTCTTCTAAAGGGAGTTATGTTTCCTCAGTAAGATTCTGGATCTAATCACATAGGGAGCTGCCCTTTCCAGCCACAGACACACACATCTATGCACCTCCTTTATTTTCACTACCGGCAAACAAAGGATATTTTAGTCAATACCCTGACCTAGCTAAAAGCAAAACTATGTAAATAATGGTTGTGTATAAACTGTGGACAGGATTATATTATCTGAAGGTCCCCTTTTGGGGGGGGGGGAGAAAGAGGAGATTGTAGGTTGGTTGGATTTTGTTTTGTTTTTCCAAAAATTTGCTTTAGTGTGTTATTATAGAAATCAGCAGAAAAGGAAAGCAGAGTTCAGAAGAGATACCAGCTGTGGAGATGCAGCCCTCCCTAGAATATAAACATCAGTGAAGAAGGTCATGTCTGTGTCCTTCCTGCCATATCCCCGGGGCCTATGCATAGTAGGCACTCAATAACATTTGTTAATAAGTATAAATGTGTTGAAAATGCATGAATACGCTTGCCTTCCAGTATACATTGACACCATTGAAAGGCAATTTTCAGAATCTCAGTTCTAAAGCTATGAAATCCAAAGCTAAAATGGGGGTTTCAGTCTACTTAAATTGGGGTTCAATGTCAATTGCTCATTTTCACGGAAAGCAAATAAGTACAATCAGGCCGCGTAACAATGTTTCAGTCAATGACGGGCCACCTATATGATGAGCCTAGGTATATATATAGCCATAGAGCCTAGGTATGTACTAGGCTACACCATCTAGGACTAGGTTTATGTAAGTACACCCTATCATGGTCACACAAGGACAAAATCACCTAATGACACATTTCTCAGAATGTATCCCCATCATTAAGTAGAGCATGACTATAATAGTGGTAGCAATAATGGTTAACCCAAATTGTGTCCATACCACGTGTAGGCTGTCTGTAAGAGCTTTCCAGGCACTTTCTTTCTGATCCTTCACAACAACTCTGGGAGGTAGGTGCTAGAACCCTCACCAAGCCATTGGGCATTTATAAGTCGGGGGTGCTGACACCCCAGGGCCCTAGCACTCTGAGCAAGCCATGCTTTGAACCTCTACACTCTGCAGCTCATACACCACAGCCTTCAAAAAGACCAAACTTCATGCTCTTCAATAATGAATAGAAATAAAGAGCATGGGGCAATCTCACGCTCAGATCAAACCCAGAGAACTACCAGAAAGTCACAAAGGCCCAAGTCCACATTTGGGACACCGATCCGATCCAACAGATCTGAAGTACTTGGTCCTCTCACGCAAATAGCTCCCATGTTGTATGAGAGGAAGAGACCCCTAGCCCGGGGTAGTGCCTAAGAACCAGAGAATCTGGGTTTAAATCTGAGCTTTGCCACTTACTTACTAGCGCTCATACTCTGAGCCAGTTCCTTCACCTCTCTCTTTAGCCTTGATCTCTACTGCTTGTAAAAAGGGATAATAACATGTATCTCACAGGGCTATTGAGAGGATTAAATAGGATGGTGTATATACCGAGCTGAAATAGTGATGGAACCAAGACATCATCATAACTAAATTTATCTAGCTTTGGCTATGTGTAAACACTAATCTAAGGGATAGGTAATCTCCCATTTACTCTTCCCCACTATCCTTATTTTATGGACGAGGAAACGAAGGCACAGAGTGTTTAATGGCTCCCCCAAAGTTCCAGGGGGCACCTGGCTGCGCTGGGACTGGAGCCCAGGCATCCTGTACCATTGTCTGTGCTCTTAACCACCCAATCTAACATCTTTCACAAAATCAAATCAGGTATACAAAGTGTTGCATAAAGTACAAAACATTTCATTATTTGGTAGTTATGATTTCATTGGCCCAAGGAAAGTTTTTCTTCCCCCCTAAACAACCTCCCCGCTACATTTCCTGGTGTCTGAAATACCTTTCAAAATAGACAAAAGCTTTCTCCCCTAAGCCTTAAAACACAAATACTAAATCAAGAGGTACCATAGTGCCGTGAATCCTGTCTCTGGTGAGGGAGGTGTCTATCTCAAGTGGGCAGAGAAGGAAGGACATGAAGGACAGCAAGGACAGAAAAAAGAGAAGGCAGAAACATTGATGTTTTGTTGACTTCGCAACGTTGCCTGGAGCTGACCTTGGAACATTTCCCATTTGTGTTGACTCAGGAACGAAGTTGGGGAAAAACTTTATTTTCCAAAGCTTTACGCTTAGTGCCAATGGTTTCTAATTCCCAAGGCTAAAAACTATTTTTTTCCCCCAAATGCAGCACGTCTCCAATAGTTTTACATGGACCTCTCAAAAGCTAGGTGGGCAGCTCCTAAAGCATCTTAGTCCATAAATTCAAGGTCTTGTCAGTGATATCTCACAACCTGAGTGTTTAAAACATAAGTGATAAAATGATTCCTGTTTATTTCTAATCATTCAAAACAGATGCCACTTCACAAGGGCTTAATAGTTCCTCTTTCTGGGTTCTGTCAATCATTTTTATAAAAGTGGAGAGTCCCTTTCAACCGGATGCTTAAACACATTCAGGGTCTGTGTGTGGTTCTGCCAGCCCTATCATGGACTCCCTCGCTACAGCTAAAGAGCAAGCCGGAACCTCTTGTTGAAAAGTTCCTCTCTTGTAAACAGAACTTTAGGGTTTTACACATGTCTCAAATTAAGTGTATTTTTTACATGATAAAAACAAGAGCAAATATTTATACAATACTACCATGTGCCAGGAACCACTCTAAGTGGTATAGATTCATTTTCACAACAACCCTATGGGATAGCTGTTATTATCATTCCCATTTTTCAGATGCAAAACTGAGCCTTAGAGTTTAAATGACTTCTTCAAAGTCACTTAGCTAAGGAGTTGCAGAGCTAGGATTTTTACCCAAGTATTCAGAGAAGCTTCGGAGAACAAGACCTTACCTCTCCCAGCGTATTACCACTCTAACAACTTAGGATTTTAAGAATGGACTTACATTTAGCATTATTGCTAAATTTGGGTCGAATTCTTCCTAGAGTTCCAGGCACTAAAGTAATGTCATCCACATTAGTCAGGTAATTGCTTAAGAACTCAGTTCTATCACATGTGACATCTTCCATTCCTATGGGGAAGAGGAAAAAAAAAAAGGATTTTCAGGCAATCTTAAAATTAAAATCTTAACACTGACATGAAAAATAACATCCAGGTATCTCTTTCACTACTTTCTAACAGCTTCATGCAAGGCTCTCTGTCATTTGAGAATTCTTAACTTGACTTTAAATTTTTAAATGCTTCTTTATATAATCTTTTCACTAGACTTTGATTTAGTCATATTATTTTGCAGCACTAGAAGGTTGAAAATGTATCATCGCAATTACCATTTTAAGTCATTCAGCAAGAACACCAAGACTAAGAATGTAGCCATAATCTTAAAAAAAAAAAAATCCTAGATTGCTTCAAACTCGTCCCAGCTGGGGGTGGTGTAAATAACTGGAATATATAGTTCCATGTCTCTTTTACAAAATGTCATTTTCCAACTCTCTCTCTCTAATATATCTCCTGACTTGAGTACATAATCACCAGTCCTCGCTCTGACTCCACTGGTGGCCTTGGATGTTACTGACAAAACAATACTGGCAACAAGAGATGAGAAAGAAAAATGTCAGCCCCAATGACCACCCAAACTGAAAAACAAAATAAAGCTGAAAACAAGCTGTAAACAATGTAATCAGTCAAAACTGACCTCTAGCAACTAGAACACAAAAGGGTCGAGCCAGGTAGGAAATTTTTTTAACCAACAAATAGCTCTCCCCCCGCCCCACCAAGATTTCTTTCCTGCCCCCATCAAGGAAAATTGCTTGATCAATGTTTAAAATAAATGTATAAAAACTAAAACTCAAGTGTGAGAAGCACAGACTATGGAGGCTGGTAGTGACTTTTTCTGTCATTTCAGAATTTATGAGATGACATGGGAACTATGAAGTTTTAATATATTGCTTTGCGCAATCCAATATGTGAATATTCAAGAGGGGAGAAATAAGTGATTCTATAAAAGATGTCCTAAAATTTTGATTCAAAGAATTATAACCCAGACTGGTCTGAATCCAGGAAAATTCAAATTATCACCTTCCGGGATCCCAGATTCAGGCTCCACCCCCTTTTTCTAAATATAAATTAGAAGAGAGAAAAAAACATATCCAAACATAGCACAAGGTTATATATCTTGCATTTTAACATTTAAACTCTCAGGAAGAAAACTAAAAACAATAAACAGCCACTATGTTCTAGCACAACGCTAACCCAGGAAGGGGAAGTCTCCAAATACATATTAATGGTAGATGGGAAGGATCTTCCATTTGTTACATTTCGAGGAAGTCACCGATATCACTCCAATGCTGAACCATCTCTCTTGCTTTCAAAAGCCATATGTGACGTGCTTCGGACACATCATCATCCCCCTTCACCCTGCAGACTAGCTGTGTAGGGGGCGCTAGTGTTCTCGTTCTACACAAGAGGGGGCGGAGACTTGCAGAGGTCACATAACGTATACCGTGTCAAATGCTCCTCAGTGGAGCAGTGCAATTTGAATTCTACTGCAGCTCAGTTTTACTCCAAAGCCCAGGCTCTGAGACACTAGGCAGTACTATCTTTTAATTAAGAGATGCTGTGGCTTACCAAAACCAAAGCAATCTACACATCTCGGAAGCCTACACACTGGCAAGACAAGGTTTTAATCTTCAAGACTTTTACAATGCTCCAGTGTGTGACTCATTGGGACCCATCTACTTCTTAGACATCTGGCTTCAACCTGTGACCAAATGCCCTTGACACCTCTGGGCAACTTCAATTGAATCAGCTGTGTCACATGCTCCAAATTTTTGTCCTATCTGCAGCTCCCCACCAAGTCAAACTCGGGGAGCATGCTTTTGCAGAGGGTCACATTTAGTTTCTGCAAACGAGCAAGGTAGTCCCACAGCTTAAAAAAAAACCAACAAAAACAAACAAACAAAAACGTCCCATAGATATCTGGAACATTCTGGAAAGAAAACTTCAAGCCCAGAGCAGAGCTTTCACTAGGGAGATATGCCTGTTGTTCTTAACAGAACTATCAAAGAGTCAGCCAATTTTCTTCTTCCCAATTCTCTCCTAGAAGGGAGCAGCCCCCTATTCCAGGGTAACTATTTCAATTTGATAGTTCTGGAATGCAGGAGGCATTCTCTAGAACTCAGTCTGAGCACTTGTGAAATAAGAATGCTTTCTGAGGGCCCCGCTCCAGCTCTATAATCACATAATGTTTATCACTCTCTTGATCACTTCAAAAAAGGGGTCATGCAGTTTTTTTACTTTAGACAATGATTTAGAAAAACTGCTTCCTAAACTGCTTCTTCCTCTCTTGAACAGTCTTTTCTATTGAAGCAGGGTGCTCTGGTTTTCATCTCGAATTCTCTCTGTGAATGCAGGGAAGTGATTTTACTAATATGCCAGAGAAAGGAATCCTATGTCTCCACCTCCTTACTACTTAGATTTATTGTTAGCCATATAAACTCCGTGGGCTCCTTTTGAGGATGTGGCTATCGGGGATGGGGTATTAATACCTGATACATAACACTCACAGAGGAAGTTATTAATGTCACGAGCAAATAGCCTGCAAAACTTTAATAAGAGACAGATTTTGTACAGAAAGGCTTCTCCTGCAAAGAATAGGAAGCGACAGGAAGTCCCTAGTTGAACTCAGGTTCAACTTAAGGTTTTGAGTCATGGCTTGATTTCTTTTCCCATCCAGAAAGACGGGGGTGAGGGGAGGTCCTGGAGTTCTGAGGGAAAGGGTTCCTTTCCTCAACACCATCAGAAACAATACCTATGAATCTATCCTACTAGCAAAGAAGAAACAAAGCTTTACCATGGTCTCCGACAAAGATGACATTTACACAGCGATGCAGCTTTAGTTGTTTCAGTCCATCCATTAATTGACCCACTGTTTTGTCAATTTCCCTCAGAGGATTTGTCATCTGGAAAAAGGAGCAAATTAGTCCCTGCAGATTTTTTGTTTTTTCCTTTCACCTTCCCATAGATCTTCTACTCCTAGAACATTCTGGAAAGAAAACTGCAGGCCCAGAGGCAGAGCTTTGTCTAGGGAGATTTCCCTGCCATTCTTAATGGAAACATGGTCTAAGTACTTTTATTTGTATTTTTTTAGGAGCATAAAACCACTCCTCATTCCAATCCCTTTCAAGATCCTTTGATATAATAATTATCAAAAATATTAAAGACAATTTTTTTTAGAGATAAAATGGCCTATCTAAAATGTAACAATGGTCTTCAAATGCAAGAATTTTGAAAGTGAGCAGAAAGTCAAATGAATCACTTAAGTCTTTTGCTCCCTAGGTGAAGTCACATTAGGCTTTGAACCGTGGAAGGAAGATGGAGGATAAGTGAATCCAAAGCAGTCCTGAGGTTAAATGGTACCCTTCACTGGATGGCAAATTAGAACATCACTAGCATAATGCAATCCATCTAATGTTCCAAGTAACTTAACTGTCAATTCTGAGAACAATAGATTGATAATAGAAAAACCTCTTCTGAGAAACAAGCTACTGCTTTTCAATTCAGTCCCCTTCAAGCTGGTTTTGAATAAAAGAAGAATCTACAAGAGTCCTAACAAACAGAAGTGAACCCCTGAGCTTGTTTTAGAAGATTTCTTATTTGGCCTAACGAAAAATGAAAACTTGGTTCTCTGAAGAACATTTCCAAATCCTAAGAAACAATCCATCTCTCATTTTCTTGCTTCAAATGGAAGTTTCTAACAGCATGAATTCTCCCACATATTAGGCACCTCCCCTCTCACTGTCATCTCTGTCCACTGGAAAGATTTCCAAACAACATCAGACAAGGACTTGACAGTACTTTAGATGAATTTCACAATTTAGCTACAATTACATACATACACCCAAGGCCACTGAGATAAGAACAGAAGGGATCTGCATATGATTTTTCATTCAGGCAATATTATCTTCCGTTAGCATCTTCTCAGGTGATTCAAAACCTTTCCTCATATCATGTCATCAGTAAAGTCAGTTGTAAACTTATTTTTCTTCATGACAAAAGTATTTCAAATTCTATCCCAAAGAGGAAGTCACAAGTGAAAGTTTCAGAACGGTCGATGCAGCATAATCTGAAGAGACTACCAGATGGCGGACTAAGTGGCATTTGCTTCCAAGAAAACCCTGCTCTCCTCTAAGACCTTTGCTTAGACAAACACCAAATATACAACATACATCAACCTCGACAATAATATTTTCCTTTACTAAACAAGACAACTCAAATAAAATCCTGAACCTTCTTCTTAGTTCAGACAATCAGAAATAAGATCATGCCTTAGGGGTATCTGAAGGTTTTGAGAAAATTAACAACCTATAGGCTGTTCTGAATATGCTGAGAAGACTAGGCATTACTCATTATCTCAATGTGAAAATACACACAACTCCATCTACCCCGTTTCCTCTTTCTTCTGTCTCAACTATCCCCTTGTCTATAACCTAAGACCTTTTCTGAATCCTGAAGACCACAATTCCAAGCCAATTTTCTATTGAGTTCAAATCTACATTGTCTTTGAGGATTCCCCCCAGCTACCTTGCTGGGTTGTTCTCAAGAACCAAGGCTACAAACCATTGTAACAAATTCTGTGGATACATGCAAGCAAAGCCCATGGTCTCCTTGACAGTCACTCAAGCCTAACTGTGAATACTAATTTTAGGGTGACTGACTCTAAAGAAAGTAGAAGCTCTTTTGTGCTGTCTTGCTGAAAGTTCAGGAGGGCTTCACATTAGTGTGAACCTCTGAAGTATCCGATTCTTCCAGACTTCAAAGCCAAGGATGAGACGCCAGAGTTTTTCTGAAACTTATTCAGCTGATTTTTGAACCAAGGGACCGAAAGAAACCTTTAACACGCCTGCCCGCCACAAAGCTTTGGAACAATGGATAAACTTACTTTGTCCTGACGAGTTTCCACGGCATAATGGTCCATCCTATGTAATTTTCTTCTTCTTTTCTTTGGAGGAGCAACTGGTCTTTCCTGTCTCCTCTTAGGGGTAACCTTCCTCTTAGGTCTCTTAGCCGGAGTAAGAGGTAAGCCATAACTACTCTCCTGTACTGGCGGAGAGAGATGTCGGGACTCAGAAGTCGTCTGTCCCTCTGGGTCACATAATAAAGCTCACACTTCGCCATCTTGGGTCAGAGGAGTCTTAGTTGGAAAAACTAAGTCTCCTTAAGTGAGGAAAAAGTTGGTATGAGGTATTATTCGGGGATCTCTAGAGAGAGAAGCCCCTAAATTGATCACGATGCTGCTGTCAGCTTCTTCACTGAGAACAAGGATAAAACTTAAGAGGATCTAGTCATATAGGTTTCTTTTGGCTGTGGAGACTATGGATATGCATGGACATATCTGGAGGTGACACAGAGTTCTGCCTTCCATAATTTTGCATTAGGAAGGAACTGGTCCTTGGTTATGAAAAGCTCTCCATGTATAAAATACTAGCCGAAAACTAAAATATTAGCCACTTGGTCATTTCAAGGTGACAGTGGGATCCGTGTAGGTGGTTCCAGCTTAGAATCTGACAGCTATCTGTTCACACCACCAACTATATCAAAGCAACTGTCCCCTCCATTGGCAAGGATAAGGAAAAATTGTAAAATGAAGGGTGGACTAAAACATAAATAATAAGCCTTTCTCCTTGGTCATGTATGTATGTTCATGAATCAGGACTTGAAGCAGGAGAGAAAATTTGTCACTGATAATTTAGGTTTCCAGTCCAGGGAAGCTCTAAGCCATGAGATAACCATAAATAGAACTTTTAAAAACTTCTCTTGTAAAATTAGGTAATGTGTAAAATGTCACTGAGATCTCTTCATTTTAGTATACATATCAAGAAAAGAGCCTATTTACATTCTTTCTATCAGAAGCCCTGATTTTTTGGGGGGTAGGGAGTGGCAGTACTATGCTTTTTTTTTTTTAAATTGTAGAGAGCAATAAAGGCTGACACATAAACTGAGTAAGGATGATAACCTTTTGGGACTTCCCAAATGCTGGCAGTAACGAGGCCCCTGATTTGCTGATGGTGCAAAGGTGAATTAAAGCAACAAGCTCTGCTGTCTACCTAGCTGATTTCTCTGGGTGGGACTGTCCGGAGAATCATTCAGATGCAGGAAGGGGCAGAAGGAGGAACAATGTTAGTGTATCCACAGAGGAGGCCATCTGCCATGCGGTTTCACTGTTTTCAGAGCAAGCGGCTGCAAAGGCCCTTCCATTTCTGTCTCATCCTCTCTCTCCGCCACAGCGATGGAAAAACATAGCCCCACAGACTCCGGTTGGGTTCTGTGTTTTTTTTTTTTAAATGCTTCTAGTTGTAAGCAATTCTTCATAAGAAGAGAAGCAAGAGGAAAAAGAGAGTTTTCCCATGTCATGGTCGCCGAATACATTCCGCGAGCGCTCAGGTCTGCCCATCAGATAACCGGCCATTTGCAAGAGACCTCAACATTCCCAAGACTCGGAAGGCGGGCCCTTCCGATTGCAGCGGGTTAGAGGAGCAGCGGGAGACATAGGATTTAGTCAAAATGAGTTTTCATCCAGTGATTATATTGCATGTATCTCCTTCTTCGAATGTTAGAAGTAGACGAAAGCTAAGTTTTCACTGACCAGCCATACTTTAGTCTGACTTGAGAAGATTGAGCCTGAGGTTAAAAGGATGGGAGGTAGAGGGGCAAATTTCCCTGCTTTTCAGAAGGATACTTTGCCATCTGAAGGTAGTAACTAGACAGCCAAAGCTCTGCCTCTAGGCCCAGAAGAGCAGCCGAATGAGGGGTCACAGAGAAAGCATAGAAGGTCAAAAAGATTGCGCCAATAATCAAAAGCAAGCATATTTCTCAACATTCACCATTACACTATGAAACCAGGAGCAATACACCATTTCTTGGAACTATTAGCCCAATGCTTGATCATCTAATTGAACAGCCTTTGAGAATCATCCTGGGGGAAAAAAAGTATACTCAAATATTAAGCTAAGAAAGCAGTACAAACTTCAACTGTATTCCAGCACACAACCCTTTGTTAGATTGAATCATTGCAATTAAACTTCAAATAGAAGATATTTTCTCATGAGATGGAAAAGATAACATGGTACTGATTTTAAAAATAATATTTAAGCTAGTATAATCTTTACATGCACAATAAACATAATGATGGATATATAGGTATATAGACCAATTATTCTACCAAAGAAGAGAGGTTTTGCTGCCTTGCTTTGGTTTCGTGTTTTAAAAGTATAAACTATTTTGTTTTTATTTCAATAAAGATAAGGTTCCTAGAACAAAATGTGAAATAGTCAAAATTTGAAAATATCCCTTGTATTATGAGAAGAAGGTGACCAGGTTACCAAGTTATCATAACTGGAGATATATTCCAAGATATCTAATCAAGAGTGTTTTACCCAGTAGATATGTGACAATATCCCAGTTACAAGAAGTATTATCCTAAAAAGAACACAGCATGAATACTTCCAGCTCTTAATTCATAAACACTATAGGACAAAATCTGTTTGTATATTTATGAGCAAACCTGAGCATAGAACCATCATTGCAGCAAATTAAACCATCTTATATTATACTTCATTTATCATTGCTCGGTACTTTAAAAAAAAGTTTTAGTTTGTTTTTATGTGTTAACAGTTTTTTAAAATTTATTAATTTTCAATTACAGTTGACATTCAATATTATATAAATGTCTAACCACTATGCTGTACAGCTGAAACTAATATAATATTGAATGTCAACTGTAATATTTTATTTCTTGATTAAAATACACAAACACTTTCAAGTAAGTAATTATAACTGAACTACACCTGTTAGAAATGCAGAGATGTTCCTTGATAAAGAACTTTGAATGCCAAGCCATATAACTTTCAAGGAAATGAGGATTATAAGAGCTGTATCTCATCTGTATTGTAAAAAAAGCCAACTTTGACATAAAGAAAATGCTCTGTAAGATGTGAATATAGTTATTAACTGACTACTCTGCTTATCTCCTGGTTGAAGGAGGGTTAAATGGTTCCATGGGAAGAACCCTGGGCTGGGAGTTAGAAGCTCAGAGGTCCTATCTGTAAGTTAACTTACCAGACAAGCAACTCCAGCAGCCCCAAACCTCTTTAGTTATCAGTCTCCTGCTTTTAAAAAAATGGTAATACTAATTGCCCCCAAAATCCCTATTTTGCCTATGCCACAGGATCTAGGGGGATATTATTACCCACGCAAAGTTGAACCTTTAAGTGGAGCACATGGAACTGCTTAGAGGTTTCTTTTCTTTTTTCTTTTTCATTTTTTTTTTAACATTTTAATAATGTGGTTCCTTTTGTTCAGTTTAATCTCAAAGAAATTCATCCTAAAGATAAAACGGCCACGCTTGCTCTGGCAAGAATAAGATTTGTGTTTCATGCGTGCAGATGTTTATCTCATTTTATCATTTGTGTTCCATAATCATGCAACACTGGTTAAACATCAAAGGGAGAAGAAAACGAGCATCAGACTTATATGACTTCAGTGATTTAAGGCAAACTAAGAATGGTTTTAAATAGCCATTAGTTTCCAGGGCTTAAAGAAATCGCCACTGGATTAATGTTAAAGCATTCAGAAATACTTATGGCTCCTCGGTATTTACTGCCTTTGTTTAAACATATTGCATTTAGCTCAAAAATACTTAAACCCAGTATTATCTGTATAATACTTATCTGTATTTCCCACTCATCCTTATGCTGAACACAAGGAGCTTAATTATAGCCAACAGTGTTGTCGTGGCTTGTTAGGGAATTGGAGGCAATTTCCATCAACAAAATTTTTCAAATTATTTCTCATCTAGAACCAAGTTTTAATACATTTCTGTAGACCTCACCACCCTAGTCAGAATGGTGGGAAATATGTAAAATATTAAGAGGTTTAGATTTGCAAATTCCACAGTATTTTAAAATTACGCCAAAATCCTGGGAAGATTTCCATCCCTAGATGAAACAAGGGCTTAATAAAACATCACCATCCCTTTCCGCTCATGAATTTGAAGTTATACGGGACACTACCTTACAAACAGACTGTCTTTTACAAGACTCTTTCATGTTTGATAAAGGGTGCCACGCTGCTCTGCTAAACAGATTCATTCAACACTGTGTTCCTCTCAATTCAGAATTCATTTCACTTTTGGGGGTGATGGCTATGTTCATACTCTTGATTGTGGAGATGGTTCCACAGGTATGTTACCTATGTCAAAATTTATCAAATGAAAAAGTGTTCATTGCTATAACATATGCCCTGTTGACTATGCCTGCTAAGGCTATTAGCATTACTTAGCTGACCTACTCTGTCTGAGCTGCATAATCATTTTAAGGGAGTGGAAAGTCGGTTCAATGTTTTGCACTGCAGGTTTCATCTCGAGTCTTTCCATTCTTATCCCAGTGATGGCAAATGGCAATGCTCCCTGATCGTCTGCCTTTTGACTGGTGTCTGCAGGGCTAGACTGTACCCCTCCCATGGACACCACGTTTGACTATCAAATCAGTCAGAAATGAAACTCCTGTAAGAGAAACAAGTATGTTGAAGATTTATAAAAACGTTTTGGGTCTTGCAGCTTTTTGACTGTGTATAATATCTTGCCGATACGTACTCCCCAAGAGACTTTGTACACTTGATGAAATAAGGTCATAGATCAGGGACACAGGTTCTCCTCAGGTAGATGACAAGCTACTAACCTCAGGGCCAAAAGGCCCATATTTGTGTCCAGAGAAATCAGGTTGCTCGGAATAGAAGGCATAGACCGAAGGCCTACGAGAAAATTGGGAAGGTTCAGAATCCCCCAAGCCAGAATACAAATATCCCTCCACATTAAAAAAAAAAAAAAGATTTCTCAAATCAAGTTAATTAATCTGCCAACCACTACTATCTTACCATATAAAAATATCTTGTTCTTGTTTTTGTTTTGGTTGTTTTTTTCTATTGTGCCCCACCTCCACCCCCCACCCCAGCACCACCCCCACCGTGGTAACTGCCTGGTACCATCTTCAGAAATCAAAAGTCACAAAGAAAAATCTGAACACACACAGTCAGGTCTTTGACCCTCAAGATAATAGAGCACAGTGACAATTCACATGGGCTATGCAATCTGCTGCCTGAAAGAACAACTCCATTAAAGTGAAAAGTGAGTCTTAATGCCAGTCCTTGAGATGCTGTTGGTTCATTTATCAAAGCCACAAACTCCCTTAAACTCTGCTGTAGTGGCCAGAATTAACAGTTGTAGTAATCCATGTAATTAAATGGTCCCCAATAACTTATGTCCATTGTATGCTTCTTAGGGAAGTTACGCTTAAGGCTGAGAACCACAAAACATAATAATACTGAACCTTGGCTGTGCTTCTATTTCAGTCTATCTATTGTAGTTTTTCACCCAATTCTAAGCTAAGATGAAAATATACTGAAGAAAGAAGGACAGTCAGGGACAGGAAAACAAATACCTTTCATTGTCTGGCAGGGTGAGCCACTGTAGTATGGTCAATATTCTCCGCTCGTGAGGGATGACCCTGGAGGGTAATAACAAAAAAAGCATCGTGGGAGTTTCTAGGGTAATAACAAGCAAAGCATCATGGGAGTTTCCTAGGGTAATAACAAGCTAAGCATCATGGGAGGTTGCATTTCCACAAACTCCAGTCTGATGAGCACTCACTGATACACCCAGGCCAAGTGCTCTCTATTTACCACCATCTGTTTTCACTTCATATAAGGGCCTCTTGAATCAGTGTTTAAACTTCCATTTCCATTTGCAACATATTATATTGCTCAACCTCTGCCACAAAGGACAAGACTGGAAACTCTGATTCACAGTCAAGGACTGAGGAAAGGACCCCAGGCTCAGAATCATTGCCATTTAGTGGGTAAGGCTATTAGCTACGGCCACAGAGGGACCAGGATTTACATCCCTGATCTGCCTCCTGTGAGTGGTGTGACCTCTCTTGACCTTTAAGCCTCTTTCACCTCTCTCAGCCTCAGTTTACTCATCAGTAAAAAATAACAACAAAAAACACTGCATGGCTTGGTTGTAGGAATGAAAATGAAATAAAACAGGCAAAGGGAATGTATAGTGCTGGCACACAGTAAATGCCAAAAAAAAAAAAAGATCGTATTTTTATTAATGATCAGAATTAGTTGTCATTCTGTCTCTAGCTATGCCTTTAGAAACATGATTACATTCCTCCTTTATAAATAAGGGGTTTAGAAAGGTATTCTTGAAATTCTCTTCCAGCTCTATAAAAATCTATCAGGAATGGGCATGTATAATTATGAGACTGACAGAAAGGGTATAATCTTCATCCACAATGACTTTTGTGTTTAAGCCTCATTTTTCCGTTGAAAATATAGTCACCCTAAATCTGGCACTCACTTTTAAGAGCTCTCGACTACCCTGATAGCACTGGATCCTGGGCTGAGTTACATTAAGATGCTCCGAAGCTGAGTGATGTCTTTATTTATAGAGCAATTTGCTTATGCTTTCCTAACAAGGAACACAACAGGCTTTTCTGCTCCCCCACCCAAGACCAGGCAGTATAGCACGTTTATGATGGATTCCAACCAAATCTCAAGTTTACTTGTGGTGAGTAAAAATTATTGTGGCCAAGAGTGAACCCTAGTAAAAAAACTATGGCATCTGGGCGATAATGACGTGTCAATGTAGGTTCATCAACTATAACAAAGGTATCCTTCTGATGGGGGATATTGACAATGGGGGAGGCTGTGCATGTGTGGGGGCAGGGGTTTATAGGAAACCTCTGTACCTGCTGCTCAGTTTTGCTGTGAACATGAAGCTGCTCTAAAAAATAAACTCTATTAAAAATTTATCATGGGGCTGGCCGAGTGGCGCATTGGTTAAGAGCTGGCTTGGGACGCCAGAGGGCCCCGGTTCAGATCCCACATATGAGGGCCAGGGACACTGCCCTCTACACAGCTAAGATGGTGAACAACAGCTCGACCTGGAGCTGGG